GTGTGTGTGTGTGTGTGTGTGTGTGTGTGTGTGTGTTAGTGAGTGCAGCTGAGTACATTTCAGAGAACAAGACAGGAGAGTAGTCGGGAATCCAAGTACAAAACATTGTGTGAGGAAAAAACTATTTTCTCTACTTCCCTTGTGATGTAAAACAGCTAGTGAGAACATTCTTGTGGGCATTCTTGTCCTTCTTTGGGGATCTGTGGACTCTTAGGGATCTTTGCCCCACACAGAGTCACATGCTTTATGTATGTGTGGTCCAAAATGTCACTCCCCAGTCCCACACAGGGGCACCTGGAATCAGTTAGGACAGAGAGTGCTGTTCCAGTGTGTACAGAGGGAGAGTCTGAGACATTCATCATCCTTCAGGTTTGTGGCTTCTCATCCACGAAGTAACACTGCACTGTTGATACCCATGAGGAGCTAAGGACAGCGTGGAGCCCTCCTACGACGTCCTCATTAGGGGCTCCAGATGCTCTTTGTTACCTTCCCAAGAGGGACCTCTCTGCCTCACCAGAGAGCTGGCCCACCTCTGACAGCTTGGCAAATGTTTGGTGGTGAGCTGCAAGGTAGTATTGGCAGCCTCCAGAACATGGTGCAGGCTCACTCCTTGAAAACAAAACCAAAAATGAACATGATGGGTCCGTCTAGGATTGTGAGTCTTTGGCCAGAGGGTGCACGCCTTTTAATCTCAGTACACTGTACACATAATAATAAATAAATAAATCTTTTAAAAAGAAAAAAATAGCAGGAACGTCGCAGTGAAGAGGAACTCTTAGAGATACTCCTGTCTACACTTGTCACTTTGGAGACAGAGACAGAAAAGTGGAGGGACTTGTTCTTGACCAGTCTCTTCTCTAATGCCCTCAGTGGACAAGCTGCCATGCTGGCCTGGGAGGTGGGCACAGACAGTAAGGGAGACACCATTGCTGTCCTCTAAGAGGGGACATCGTCAGGCTGAGAAGCATGGGCAACCCAGGTGACGCCTGAGAGAAGAGCCACAAGCCACAGTGAAGGCATCACCACACCCCGCCCGCCCATCTCAAGGTTCTCTGACAGCAGAACCCTTTCTGGAATGTCACTATTGGTGTGTGTTAAGCCTTCACCGTTCACTGCCCAAAGGATAAGGGCTTCTGTGACATTGTCATATTCTTCAGCCTTTGAGAAGCATGCCTCTATTATACCCATCTCACTTAGGAGTAAACTGAGGCTGAGTAAGAGTAAGTGATTTGCAGTTGGGATTTGAACCCTAGACTGTTTTCTTTCCAAGTCAGTCCCGTTTCTCAGGCTGAGATGAAGCCAATGAGGCTCACTTAAGTAGAGAAGGGAGTGAGGAACATTCTAGAGGATGACAATATGACCACCCTGTATAGACACCTTAAGATCAAGGGCAAATATGGAGGCTGGAGTGTTGACCCGGGGAGTAAGAGCACTTGGTGCTCTTCCAGGGTACTAGAGCTCAGTTCCCAGTACCTACATTAGGTGATTCACAGTAGCCCGTAACTGTAGCTCCAGAGCCTCCAACCCCCTCTTCCGGTCTCTATGAGTACTCACATGCACACACACACACACACACACACACACACACACACACACACACACACACACGTAAAAGAATTGTTGTTGTTGTTGCTGCTGCTGTTATTGTTTTTGAAAGGACAAATGTGTGGAGAGGCTTACAGGAACTTACAGGTGTGACTGCCAGGCAGATTTCATGTTAGAAGCAAAAGGGTATGGCCAAATCGCCATTAGTCTGTACAGAACCAAAGCTGAGCTCCTAACCAGAGGTCTTTCTACCTCCCTCCCAGCCTAGTTGATACCTGTCTTTAGTCTTATGCATCTCATACTCAAAGACTGAGCATTGTTGATTGGAAATTGACATGTTTCCATCCCTTACCCAGGAAACTTCTCATTGGAATTAAAGGGTTGTGATTTGCGGAGTGGGGGTGGAGTTGGCTGGGTAGGGAGGTGGGAGGATCTGGGATGAGTTGGTAGAAATAAAAAAACCTGATCGAATATATGAAAATATTTTTTAGGTTATTAAAAAAAAAAGAGAAGTAGGAGAGAGGACTTGGGACCACACTGCCAGTGTTCACTATATCTTGCCTCCAGTCCAGAAATGGAGTCATGGGACTCACTAGTGCCTTAAAATTGTTGGAAAATATAATTACAGGCTTCTAACTTATGTGAGCAATGCCTTGAGAGGACTGGCCTTAAAATAAACCCAAGAACAAAGTGGAGTACACAGGAACAAAGTGACCATGCCCTGGGTCCTAGAATATCTGAGGCCTTAAGGGCTTTGTACCTCTCCCTCAACCGTCACGGCTGGCTGACTTATTAAGTACATACTATTATAATAGGCCCTTCCTGACCAATGGAGAGCAGACCGACTCAACTACCTTGGCGGGGGAGGATATATCCTTCAAACAACTGAAAAGTTCAGGGTAGACGGTGGCTCTGGGACTAGGGGAAGGCACACTGGAGATGAGTACAGCTGTCTCGCCCCTCCGCCCTCTTTCATGCATGGGTTTCCCTCATGGATGGGGCACATTCATCTCCTCGTTCTGACCTGTGGCGCATCCTCACCCAGCTGGGAGGTTTCTCTTGAGTGGCTTAGCAGCCTGCAAGATGAAACCTCCTTTGTAAGTCTGAGTTCCAGAGGGAGCCCCAAGGATGTCCCTCCCTGACCCTAAAGGGGAACTCCTACCGTCCCTCTGAAGGTGTGAGGGCACCTGGGCTGGAATGAACGGATAACGGAGAGACGGTGTTCAAAACCGTGGACATGTGTGTGTAGGCAGGAGCTACACAAAAATGCCAAGATGCGGGAGGCCGGATGGCTGAAGCTTACGCCTCTTCAATGGACAAGGGCAGTAGAGTACTAAGCAACCTCAGAGGGGTAACGAATGGTGTTTAGGAGAATCACTGAACCCAGGGGTCAGACAGTGGCCTGGGCCAAAGTCCCCGTAGACTTCGGGTGTGATGTTGGGTTTTCAGTGTCGTTCGATAAGGGAGTGTAATCTTCATGAGGAGCAAAATGTCACTAAGAAGCTGAATGATGACCGTGGGTCTCTTTGATGGGTTGAAGCCACAGTCCACATGGGAACTCCAGGGACAGCCCCTTCCTGTGCCTCAGGAGAGAAAGGGGAGCAAGAGCAACAGGGTGGGGGATGGGAGCAGGTCAGAGGGACCATGAGGCTGTTCCTGCTGCCAGCGTGACAAAGCACAATGCATAAGACTGTGAGTCAGAGGCAGGTAGATCTCCAAGTTCGAGGCCAGCCCGGTCTACAAAGCAAGTCCCAGGACAACCAGGGATACAGAGAGAAACCTGTCTTAAAAAACAAAACAAAACAAAGACTGAGTTTACTGAGGTTACACAATCAGCCTCACACTAGTATTTGTGACACTGATTGCCCAAACCGGGCAAAAACTCAGGTCCCGCCATGTCTATGCAAACTGTGATCATCTGGGCATTCAGAGGTCCCAAGGTTCAGACGGCCCAGGTATAAGGAGGGGCAAGTAGGTGTCACACTGATCTAATGATTCCATCATCTGCATCTGACAGTTTGCCTTTAGCAACGAGCCACACTTGCAGATACCTGTATTATTCTAGGGCCCTTAGGGGAGGCAGCTAGCCCATCATAGCACTGGGACTGTGACTTACCAACCAGTGGCATCTGGGAGCAGCATTAGCCACCCACACAGGGTACCTCCATTCTAACTCCTATTTTTTTAAGTAAGTAAATATGAGGTTTCCTTATGACTTTCTCATACATTTTTAGTTTTGGTTTAACCTCCCACCACCTTCTCTCCCCCATATCCCTGTTCCCGTTGTCCCTGTCAATCATCAGTCAGCACTTAGAAAATGCTAGATTCTTTCTGCATAGTCTAACATATGCACCAGAATCTCACAGGACAATCTGACTGTGGTCTTTCTCATTTGACATTTAGAAACTGAGGCTCGAGAGAGAATAAGCCTTTTTGCCCAAGGCCCTACAGCTGGCCAGTGGCAGAGAGGCAGTCTGGAAACAAGCAACCTGGCCCCAGAATAGATGGCATTAGCCACAGTGTATCAGACACAAAACATCCTCTCTGAAACGCTAATGGTTCCATTAGGTAGATGTGGCCCTCTCGGCTTCGGGTGTAAAAACTGAGGCCAGAAAAGTACTTTATCCCACTCATGTTCTACCACCAAAAGGAGCTGGCTTCTGATTCTCACCCAAGTTCATAGAGTTGGGAAGTACATCCTCTTCCTCCCAAGCTCTCAGCCCCTCCCCCCTGCTGCTGCTGTAGATAGCAATGGCCATGCCCCCCCCACCCCACAATGGCTGTGGCACCCTGTATCACTAGCTGTGGGGCTCTGGGAACCACAGAAGCGTGGCTGGGCTGGGTGAGCGTGTTGGGCTTAATGGGGTCACTTACTAACCTGTGCCTTCTGCCTCAGAACCCTCCACGGCAATGACATCTCCAGTGTTCCGGAAGGCTCCTTCAATGACCTGACTTCCCTTTCCCACCTGTAAGTAGCCTCTTTCTCAGTGTGCGTTGACTAACAGCCGAAACTGGTGCCGGCGACAGCCACAGTGTCATCACTTTGTATTCTTTCCTTGTGTCAGGCAGATGTCCCTCCATATGCACAGGGGACTGGCTCCAGGAGCCCCGAGAACCCGCAGATGCTCAAGTCACTTGTGTACAATGAAGTAGCATATGCAGAGCATGCCACACATCCTCCTGTGTACTTGAAACAGTCTCTGGACCATTTAAGATGCCTACTACAATGTAAACACTTTGTAAATAATGGAATAAGGACCCAACTGAAGTCCAGGTTTATATGTGTTTGTTATAGGTGGAACTTTTAAAAATTATTTTGGGCCCACCGTTGGTTGGGCCTGCAAATAGGAAACCTGACATTCAGAAGGCCGACAGGAGCTTGTTTTTGAGCTACTGTATTCCACCTGTATACAATGTCTTGTTTCAGAAGCCTTCAGAGACATCATCAATCCTGTCAAACGATGTGAAAGTTTGAGCCCTTCCTGTACCCTAAACACATTCAGTGAATTATCCCCTGTATTTCTTAAAGCATTAAGGCAGCTTATTCCCTTCTATGTGAGGACACTGAGACTTAGGGACGTTAAAAAAATTCATCCTGAGGCTGCACAGCCGGCCAGTAGCAGAACGGCAGTCCAGCTCCGCGTCTGCCTTGACTCCAACAGGCATGTGCTCAGCCATTCTGTAGTCCATCCTTACTCTGCTCAAGGAAACTGAGACCATCCATAACAGGTGACGACCTGAAAGTCACCCATGAAGCCAGTGAGACTCCAGAGTAGAGCTCAGTTTCCCTGACTCCCGGGCCAGGCCTCTCTTCCCTAGCTGGTGTTCTCGGGTAGCATTATCTTCTGGGTACCTATCTCTCTTGGTAAGTTTGCAAGATCGTATTCCTCCTCTGTATGTATTTTAATTATTTTCGTGTTGTGTGCATAGGCTACAACAGTGACATGTGTGTATTCTATAAATCAAAAATAGAAAGGCTAAAGAATAGGATTGTGTGTGTGTGTGTGTGTGTGTGTGTGTGATGATGATGATGGTGGTGGTGGTGGTGGTGGTGGTGGTGGTGGTGGTGGTGGTGGTGGTGGTGGTGGTGGTGATGTTTTCTTCCCAATCACTTTGGAGAAGTGTACGTTCAACTCTGGCCCCATATCTTCAATCTCACGTGCTTGAATCTGCTTCAAGCAGAACCTTCTTTGAAGGGCATGTCTTCTAACAGACCCTGTGCTTGAGAGCCACATGAGAAGGGGGTCAGAGGTCCAGAATGCTTCCCCAGAGAGCCATGATTGGGGTAGAGTGAAGGACAGAATTTTCCAGAGCAGTGAGAACAGAGCCTCAGAAGAGGGGTGTCGCTTAGGTGGGAACAGAACATCTACTGAACTGGAAATGGACCCTGGAAGCTTTGATTGTGCCTGTGGATGTGTGTTCTAGTCTGCACACTAGACTCCTCTAATTTAGTTTCAAAACCTTGAGTTTTCAGGGAGCCACAGATGGGGAGCCTGTGGGCCAGGCCAGGCAGGGCCTAACTTCTTCTTCTGCCTTTTAGGGCCCTGGGAACCAACCCTCTCCACTGTGACTGTAGTCTGCGTTGGTTATCAGAGTGGGTCAAGGCTGGCTATAAGGAGCCTGGCATTGCCAGATGCAGTAGCCCAGAGTCCATGGCGGACAGACTCCTGCTTACCACTCCTACCCACCGGTTCCAGTGCAAAGGTAGGTGCTGCCTGCCCACCACATCTCTGCCCTCACAGGGTCGAGCCGATGTGTTTCCAACATCTAAGCACATGTGACTTATAAAACCACAGCCTATCTCATGCATAGGCATACCGTATACTTTATCTCCACTTATAACACATTGTAAATGCTGCATTCAAAGTTGTTATACTGTATTGTTTAGGAACTTTATGACCGGTACGTGCTTAGTATGGACACAGTTTTGTTCTAGAAGTTTATGATCTGTAGTTGGTTGAATCTTTGGATGTGGAATCTGCCTGTGACAGATATGTGAATACAGAGGGCTGACTCTACTCACTGGCTCCTTCTTTGTATATTTTCCATGGCTGAGAACATCTCTAATTTGCATTCCTCAGCCAGTAATATTAGCATCATCATTATACTATTTGATCTCTGTGTCTCTCTCTGTGTCTTTCTCTATATGTTTCTGTCTCTCTGTCTCTCTCTGTCTCTGTCTCTCTCTCTGTCTCGTGTGTGTGTGTGTGTGTGTGTGTGTGTGTGTGTGTGTGTGTGTGTGTGTGTGTAGGTCACTACTTGTGGGAATTGGTTATGTCCTTCCATCATGTAGCCCCCAAGGACTGAACTCAGGTCCACAATGCCAAGCACCTTTACCCCACTGAGCCATCTGGTTGTCCTTGTACATGACTCATTATAACAAACCACTCCTGAATTCTTTTTTTTTTTTTCAAGACAGGGTTTCTCTGTGTAGTTTTGGTGCCTGTCCTGGACCTCACTCTGTACACCAGGCTGGCCTCAAACTCACATAGATCTGGCTGGCTCTGCCTCCTGAGTGCTGGGATTAAAGGCGTGCACCACCACCGCCTGGCTCACTCCTGAATTCTTTTTTTTTTTTTTTTTTTTTGGTTTTTCGAGACAGGGTTTCTCTGTGTAGCTTTGC